GCAAAACAAACCCAAAAGATGCATGGAAGTAAGTCTTCCCCTACACTATTTGATCACCATGTAAAGCAGGATGGTGAGAGGCCTCCTCCCGCTGTGGGCCTTCAGATGGGGCGGTTGGCAGTTTGCCTCCCTGGGTGGCCAACTTGTGGTGTAGGAGCCCTGTGTGCCACAGGCAGCAAGAGTGCTCTTTCACATTCCCAGGAAGGACAGGAAATTCTGTGTGTGACTTACGGGCCTGCTTTGGACTGAATTCCCTATGAAATTAGATGCTTATACCATGCCCAAAAGTGCCATCTTCCAACTTTTGGCCAGTTTGCTCACTGGACCCTACTGACTCAAACTGCTTTCTTCAGATCTTCAGTCCTTCCTACCGCTTCTGAAGTACTGTGGGGTGCTGTATAAAATGCCCCGTAGTACTTCCTGCAGTGACGGCGGTTTTTTGCACCCCTTTTCTCCCTGCATGCAATCATCCTCTTTTTTTTTTTAAATGTTCTATTGGGAGCGCTATGGCGCTGAAGCAGGACCATAGCAACCCCATTGAGATGTCTGGACTCTTGTTAGATACACTGACATTCACTATTGCTGTCACCTGGAAACAAGTTCCTGATTGGACAGCATGTTTAAGCGGGAGATCAGGGGCATAAATGAATGGTGAGACAGATTTTTAAAGAAGTTTGCTTTAGAGGAAGTGTAGCCTCAGACACACGCACACAAGCACGCACACTCCATGGTTTGTGGGAGTTAAGGAATGAAGGAAAGCTTCCAGGCCACCCCTGTGCTTGAACTCTGTATGCAGTGAACTCCTTGTTTCCAGGGGACAGCAGTAGCGAATGTCAGTGTATGTAAATGGACTCCAGGCATCTCAATGGGGTCGCCATGGCACTGGTCCTGCTTCAGCGCCATAGTGCTCCCAATAGAATGTTTAAAAAATACCTCTCAGAGATTGTGCGTGTGAGGGGAAATGGTGGGGAAAAGAAAGCGGCGCAATTTGAAATGACACACTGCTTCAGAGATGGCTCCTTACTGGAAGGGAAATGCTGTGTGAAACAGCCATCCCTGTACCGGTTTACTCTATGACAGGCCAATAACGGAAACCATGTGGTTTAAAAAGTTAATGTGAAATTGACCTTAGAGAGTGTGAACTCTCTCTGCGTCTGGAGCAAAAATAGCAGTTACAAATAATGGATGAGAGAAGTCAGAGGTTCAAATAGATAAGCAAGGTAATAAGGTTAAGTGGAAATTAACAGATAATTGGTGCAAGGTTTTGCTGGTAAAGCATGTTAAGAACAGCCAATCACGATTTCTGTAAAGTGGATCATGTAAAGCCATTAGAGACTACAGTGGGTAGAATCATAGAGTTGGAAGGGGCTTCCAGGGTCATCTAGTCCAACCCCCTGCACAATGCAGGAAATTCACAAATACCCCCCCGACACACCCCCAGTGACCGCTATTCCATGCCCAGAAGGGGCAGGGACCCTCCAGGATGCCCAGGCAAGCTGGCCTGGAGAAAAAGTGGCAATCAGCATTTCCCTAGGTGTGTAAGAAAGGGCCAGTTTGGTGTAGTGGTTAGTGCGCGGACTCTAACCTGGGAGAACCGGGTTTGATTCCCCACTCCTTCACTTGCACCTGGCTGGATGACCTTGGGCACGCCCTAACTCTGGCACAGCTGTTCTTGAAAAAGAGCAGTTTCTGTCAAGAGTTCTCTCAGCCCCACCTACCTCACAGGGTGTCTGTTGTGGGGAGGGGAAGGGAAAGGAGTTTGTAAGCCGCTCTGAGACACCTTTGGGTAGTGAAGGGCGGGGTTATAAATCCAATCTCTTCTTCTTCTTCTTCTTCTTCTAAGCACTGATGCAACTCTTCCTGCTCTCCTTCTCATGATCTACCTAAGTTCACAGAATCAGCAATGCTATCAGATGGCCACCTAGCCTCTGTTTAAAAATTTCCAAAGAAGGAGAGCCCAACACCTCCTGAGGAAGCCTGTTCCACTGAGGAACTGCTCTCTCAGGAAGTTCTTCCTAATGTTTAGCCGGAAAGGAAACCCAAGTCTCTTGTTAATTTTCAGGGATTGAAAGGTATGATTTCCCTTAACATATCTGGAAAATAAGATTAATAAAAGGTTCGTGCGCTGGAAAGAGCTGACAAAGAGAACTATTTCTCCCCCTCCCAAAATGCTATAACTCGAGGGAATCCAATGAATCTGATGGTCAGGAGATTCAGGACAGACAAAAGGAAGCATTTCTTTGCAGCAAGTGATCAAAATGTGGAATTTGGTGCCAGAGGATGTAGGGATGGCCACAAGTATCGGTGGTTTTAAAAGGGGATTAGACAGATTAATAGAAAATAGGTCTAACCGTGGCTAGTAGCCATGGTGACTAAAGGGAGCCTCCACATTCAGAGGCAGGGGTTGGCCAATGTGTGAGACAGGATGCTGGACTAGACAGACCACTGGTCTGATCCAGCAGGGCTCTACTTAGGTATGCTCTTAAGGAGTGAGCTGTGGATTACAAAAATTCATGCTGAAATAAAGGGCGTTGATCTTTGCGGTGCCACAGGGCTTTTGTTTGGCACAACAGATAGACATGCTACCCATTGCAATTACTCTGCCCTTGATAAGCATTCAGAAACTTCAGCTGGCCCAGGACTTGATAGCCTAACCCCCACCATCTCCAGTTAAGTGGTAGTCGGTGATGTGAAAGACTCGTGCCTGAGGCCCTGGAGAGCCACTGCCAGTTAGAGTACACAACATGGACCTTGACAGACCAGTGGTCTGGGTCAACATAAGGCAACTTCATGTGTTCACGTGTACCAGTATCATGGGGGGTCCATTGGTTGCAAGTTTCCAGGCTCCTTTATATGCTCAGACTTGCCTTTCAAGCCCTACATGGCCTCTGGACCATTGCATTTGTTTCGGAATTAATGAAAAGCAGGGGGGGGGAGCTCTGAGACAAACGGGAGTTAAAATGAATGAACTAATCCCATTTCACTTAGTTTCCATTGTGTTCAATGAGAAACACATTTCTGCCTGTGTCTGCTTCCCATCCAATTTGCATGGAACTTTCATCGACTGTACCCCTCACCCAATGGGTCCTGACTGCCAAATTTCAGACAGAGAGGACAATGTGTCCCACTCTGCAATCCTGAACAAAGTTATATCCTTCTAATGTCATTGAAGTCAATGGGTTTAGAAGGGTGTTAATCTGTTTAGGACTCCACCGTCGGTTCCGCTGGCAAGTCAAAGCATTTCAGGTTGTTCCATGTTGGCTTTCCATCCAATGTTAATGAAATTCTCAGGGACCCAAAAGATCAGGATTGCAGAATGCTAGCAAAATGGGAGGAAGGGTCGCTTTAAGCTTAAACTGGAAATGGCCAATTAGCATATCCCTAATAGCAAGGTTGGATTGAGACGTGCTGAGGTCTGATATCAGCTCCAGTTCACTAGGCCCCAGAGGCATTACTAAAAATATGTATTATTCTAACAAAAAAGATAATGAAAATAGATGCCCTCCATTACCTTTGGCCCTAAACTGTAATTTACTTAGTTTGGGCTTAAATCCAGCTCCACAGTCCATGGTCCAGTGTGGTCTCTGGCCTGTTTTTACTCTGACTGAGGCACCATGATAATAATCACATTATTACATTTTGCAGGAATAGTGCTTGTTTTGCTACCGGGATGCCTCACAGTATTTGCAGAGTTCACCATTCACTGTGATCATGGTAACAGGCCCCCTGTGAATGGCAATGGGGCTACTGTACATGCACCCCTCTTCCCCCCTACCAATCCCCTAACAATCCCCATGTGGAAATAGCCCAGGTTGGCTGCCACTATCCCTACTCAGAACCCCTGCTGACTGGCAGCAAATGTGGGTAAGGTTGACAGCTGTAAGTATCCACAGAAAGGGCCATGTCGGGAAAGACTGGGAGATTTGGGGGGTAGAGCCTGAGGAGGGCAGGGTTTAGGGAGGGGAAGGACTCCAATCGGGTACAGTGCCATAGAGGCCTCCTTCCAAAGTGGCCATTTTCTCAAGGGGAACTGATCTCTGCTGCCTGGAGATCAGGTGTAATCCCGGCTTACCTAAGGGACCGCCTCTTCCCGTATGTTCCCTCAAGAGCGCTGCGATCGGGGAATCTCCATCTCCTGGAAGTCCCAGGCCCCCGAAGTGTGAATTTTGCCCAAACTAAGGCCAGGGCGTTTTCGATGGTGGCTCCTACCTGGTGGAACGAGCTCCCGGAGGAGATCCGGGCCCTGCGGAACCTCGTACAGTTCCGCAGGGCCTGCAAGACGGAGCTCTTCCGCCAGGCCTTTGAGTAGGAGCCACCGCCGCCACTATTCCATCACTGAGATTCCATCATCCATCTACCCCATTACTGGGGGGGGGTAGATGTCACCCGGCACAGATGAGGAGAATATCATTCCTGGTGCTCATGCCATTAAAAAAGTCGGCCACCAATGTGGAATGTGCGCATCTTGGTGATTTTATGTAGATTATTAGAGCACCGATTTTATTATGTATGTAATATTGTTTTACTGTTTTAAATTTTTAATTCGGCATTGCCGCTTGTTAGCCGCCCTGAGCCGCTGGGTAGGACGGGATATAAATCCCAAAATAAATAAATAAACAAACAAATAAAAAGGAGATCTCCAACCACCATCTGGCGGCTGGCAACCCTAGATGTGGAGCTACATATTTGCATACCTTTGTGAGGATGTGAGAGCAATGTGATCGCAACACCTGTCACTCCCTCAATCACCACGATTGATTCAGCTGATTTGGCTGGCTAGGCAGGTATCCCCTTCCTCCCTCACCACTCCATGCACTTCCCTACCGGAGCTGCGCAGTCCTTGGAAGAGGAGGACCGTCCCAGATACCTTTGCAAGCATCTGACTGCCAGAGTGTTTTGCAAGAGCATACCCATTTCTTACTACACTTGATCTTAGCCAAAAGGCCGAGAAGTGATGAGAGTACACCCATACCTTACCCGATTCTCCTGCCTGCTCAGGCTCAGTAGTTTCTCCGACCGTAAGGGCTTGGGTACAGCCCCGTCTTCTGCACTCCAAAGGCCGTGATGAAGATGTTGAAGATGACTGTAAAGAAGACCAGGGCCGTGGCGATGTTATTGAGCAAGTCCAGACGCTGCTGTTTCGTCACATCGTTCAAGTTCAGCCGTGCTGTGCAAGGCAGAATACAAACAAAAGGCAGGATTCAGAGGGGCCGGACCTCCGTCTTCCCCAAAGACAGGCCTTCATCCCTGCCTGTATCACCCAATGCTCCTTGCATGATGCAGAAGTGCCCCCCCCCCAATGGTCGACATCTATAGAATGGTATCCTGAGAATTTTAAAGTCACTGGAATAGCATTTTCTTCAAGCTTTCCTCTACCATGACATAGGTTAAAAATGTATGCATGCCTCAAAAAATAAATAAATAAAAAGCAACACACAACCAGCTTACTGAAACTAGGATCCTACCATGTAATCCTTGGTTCAAATGTGTTGTGCTAACACTATGCCTTCGATTCCATTTTAAGATCATTGACTGGTTCTGCAACCCTAATCCTATTGCGTTGTTTATTGAATGCCCGTCCCATCAATCAAATCGACCCATTCTGCGTAATCCACTTTGACTCCAAGTGAGAAAGGTGGACAATAAACAACGTAAATAAAATAAAAATAAATTTGCCTCCACTATTTAAAGGTAAGCCCCTTGGTTTTTCGGTCCCGCTTCAGGCCTACCATCCCCCCTCTAAACCCATACTCACAGCTGCATTTCAGTTTTTTAAAAATTAGGCCATCAGTAGCTATTGTCACACAGTTATAATTTGGCTCTTTCTCCAAAATAATACACCTAGAATTGCAAATGTCACTTTTCTTTATGTATTATGTACTCTCGATGTACATTGAAGACTGTTAAGGTATCGTGCCAGATTTGCAAGCCTCCAGATGAGGCTGGAGATCTGGGACTGCAACTGATCTCCAGGCAACAGAGATCAGTTCCCCTGGAGAAAATGGCTGCTTTGGAAGGTGGAGTCTATGGCATTAAACCCCATTGAAGTCCCTCCCCTCCTCAAACCCCGCCCTCCTCAGGCTCCACCTCCCAGAAACTCCAGATATTTCCCAACCCTTGTTAGAGCGGAGATGTAATGTGCGAATGTAGCAGAAGGAACTGTTTAAAAAAATGTGCAAATAATTCCAGTGCTGAGCTTTTTTGGGGGGGTCAAACCACGTTTGTTGCAGGGTTGTCTGTGAAACAGCCCTTACACACACAAAATCCCCTTCTGTCAGTCTGGTATTCTCGACCGGCTTAAAATTAGACTGGAAGGTTACAAGGAGTACAGCAGATTGTCATTTTTAGCAGGTAGGTGATTCTCTATTAAAAACCAGAGCAGCTATTCCCGGGAGGGGTTTGAAGCCAGGGGGCTGCTGGGACATTTCCACAAGCCGGCCCTGGACGCAGGCAAGAGATTCTATCGCCGGCAGGCGTGACTGGCAGCTGCATGGAGCCCAAGTTCATGACCCTGTCATTCCTTTCAGTGCTGAACACACAAGCGGAGAAAGAGGCGCCTGTGTTCGCCGGCACGAGGGGAGGCAGAGGGCTGACCTCAGAGCGGCTCTCCAGACTGTAGCCCTCTGTCAGGGCAGCTCAGGAATGCTGCGGGCTGGTGAAAGGAGAAAGACAGGCCACCTGGGGGGGAGGAGGGGGTCGCAAGTCGGGGTCTGGGCAGGGTGGTGAAAGAGGATACAGAAGACAACTGGGAGGGGGATCTGTTACACCGAACAAGAATAAACCAATTCTGAATGAGCACCACTTCACACATTAAATTGGCGGGCCCATGCTCGTACGCCACATGCACTGAGGGGGGTTGGGTCTGGTGCAAAATTTCCTCTTGCACTGAGAGCTCTCGTGCAAGAGGAAACACAAGAAAAGGATTGGGGGTAGCCACTTGTGCTAAGGCAAATTTATTGCATCCCCTTTTAAAGTTACCTCTCATGCAACCAGTTTTTATGCACTATAATATATGGGGATGAATGAATGCACTGGGTGTTGCGTAAAATCTTGTGTAAGCAGAACTGCACTATTTGCACGTCACTGGATCCAAGTCGGGATGTTCCCCATAATATGCAAGAGCCACCCACTTGCCTTCCTATACAATATAACAGTGCTTAGCAAACTGCTGCAGCCAGCGTGTTGAGTGGAGTGGGTTGTATGGACCATATCACTCCAGTCTTGACCCATGTACACCGGCTCCTGGTTTGTTTCCAGGTACAATGCAAGGTGCTGGTGTTGGCTTGGGACCACCATACCTGAAAGACTTCCTGCTACTTTAGCAACCTACTTGACTGCAATGGCCAGCCTTTGAGGCCCTGTTTCAGGTGCCCACATCTTCTGAGATTAGGTGCATGGCAACCTGGCAGAGGGCCTTCTCTGTCATGGCACCAAAACTCTGGAACTTTCTTTCCAGAGAGACCCTTTCCATTGCCATCTTTTGCCAACAGGTGAGGACTTCTTTTCTTTCACTTGGTGTTCCCTCTGTGATCCCTCCTTCCTGCCCTGTGTTCTAATTGTTGAGTTTCTTTTTTGGATGTGTATTTTAGCTTGGTTTTAGATCAAGAAGAAGAAGAGATTGGATTTATACCCCGCCCTTCACTTGGAGTCTCAAAGCGGCTTACAAACTCCTTTCCCTTCCCCTCCCCACAACAGACACCCTGTGAGGTGGGTGGGGCTGAGAGAACTCTGATACAAACTGCTCTTTTTCAAGGACAGCTGTGCCAGAGCTTGTGACTGACCCAAAATGGGTAGCTATGTTAGTCTGTCTGTAGCAATACAAGAACAGAGAACCACAGCTCTTATAACAATATAGAGAAGAACAACAAAAGCTTTGTAGGTGTCCGCTAAGTAATACTAACAAAATCAATAATTGCAAATTTTATATTATGGAAAACATCCAAAATCATATACAAGTGCAAGAAGGGGTCCAAACAATGAACACTAATACTGTTGGCCCGATCTTAGAAACAGATGTATTTAACTGTATGAAAATTGTTGATCATTTGACTGTGTATAGAATTATGTAACATGCAAAAAATTAAACTCTGCAGCTCTAAAAGATATAT